GGGCCCCCAGAACCCCCCGGTATCAGCAGCAACTCCCGGCCTCCCTCAGCCTTCCACACCCGTTCCCATCGCTGCAGCGTTTCGCTTCCCGCTGTGGGTAAAAATCTCTTCCTTGGGCCTGAATTGTGATCATCTCCTCTCGTTTCCCACGGCGACAGGTTTTCTGCACCTGGGTGGCCTTCGGACTGCTTTGTACAATTACATTTTTGCCAAAAAACACCAAGGGACCTTTATTTTGAGAGTGGAGGATACAGACCAAAGCCGAGTGGTTCCTGGAGCTGCTGAGGGAATAGAAGATATGCTGGATTGGGCAGGTATTTGCAGACAGCTTTAAGTCTTTTACTCCCTGGAAGATTCTCTTTAGAGATTGGCAGTGCCCAGACTGAGAGCATTGCAGGTTGGGCAGGGCATCATATGGTGACTCCCTGGAGATGTCACTGTACAGCAGGCACCTGGGAAACCCCCATGCTTTGGGGGGCTTTAGAGCAGAAGTCACTGGTTGGGGTTGGTTTCTTTTGGCTGTGTTGTCTGACACACAGAAAGACCCAACTGTGTGAAAGGGACCCAATGTGCAGTGCAGGAGAGATGTGATGGGAAGGTCTGAAGCTGGAGCTCACTATCCTTGCTGTAAATTGGTAGATGGTTTCTAGGTGGAGTATTTGCTAAACAGGATCTGGAGGTGTTTTCATTCTTCAGAGAGTTAAACTCTGCTTCTTTTTGAACTTAGAAGTGTGGGTAGTTTAGAATACAGAGTGTTGATAAACTTGGAGATTTCAGAGGTGCTTCCATTAATGGGTAGGTAAATGTCAAAGGACTTGACTGTTGCATAATAAATTTGGAGTAGATAAAATAACGGGCTGAAGTCTCAGCTGTTGTGTGGTGAGTGAGGGGTGGGTGCACCTGAGCAGCACATGCACCCCCTGCTCTAGGCAGCCTGCCAGAGCTGCTCAGCTCCCTGCGAGGCTTTCGGGTGTTTTTTTCTGCCTGTTGCTCCACACACAATGCTCCACACTCCCAAGACGCTGGCGCTGTTGGTCGGTGCGGGCCGGTGCTGCGAGCTGTGCCCCGCAGCAGGAGCGTTGCTGGACGCTCTGCAGAGCCCCGCTGTGCGCTGGGCTGCGGGGCTTCCCTCCGCCTTCCTGCGGGCTTCCTAAGTCCCGTCACACTCCCGTTCCAGGCATTTCCCCCGACGAGAGCCCCCGGCGCGGCGGCCCGGCCGGGCCCTACCAGCAGTCCCGCAGACTCGCCCTGTACAGC